ACTCAACAGCTTGATTTGGTTATATAAGTTGGTTATAATATTTGAAGTAGTGTCAAGTGTTTTAGTGTTTATAGTATGTTGTAGTGAAATGTCTATAAGGCTGTATAGCAATTGGTAAGATGGACAGATTATCCAGTGAAGATGAGAACTAATTTGATGACATTGGTGACAGATAGGTGAGTATGAGTAATATCGTTTATATAAGATGTGTGGGGTAGGAAGATCATCTAGTAGAATTTTGATTCTAAAAGATTTAAGAATAGAGGACTGAAAGCTGTGCGAGAAGTTTGAGATCTTTTGGTTATTGTTGATGTATAGCCAGATGGCTTGCCAATTGATTTGGTTAAGGATTTTGTCCCATTTTTGAAAGTGGTGTTGTGTAATCCATAATGCATAAATATGTGCATAACATATTGTACAGATACTACAGCGAGTAGGTAATTCTAAAGAAAAGTTTTCAAGGTTTAAAGTAGCTATAGCCTATTCATTGCAACGTTCCCAAGAAATTTTGATAGGATTTTGAAAAGTTGGATACTTTTGATAAGTATTGCTTTTAATTAAATCTGACTATGCTATATTAAGTGCAACTTCTGTTTTTGAAAAAAACATTTTCTTTACATACTTGATTAGAACCGCATGATCACTATTATAAATTCTATGTTTATTGTTCCAAAGCCATCTCTATATTGCTTGTAGAAAATAAAAAACACAAAGAAGCAAAGTCACATTTGGCCAGGTATTGTGTAGTGCTAACTTTTTTGCCCTACAATCATTTATTATGACTACTTGTGGTTTAATAATTGGATCTCATCTACCAAATGCTATTGATGGAACCATATGCTTTACTATACTTAATGCTTTTGTAAAAGTTTCTGCTGTTTCATTGGATGTAAGAATTGCAGCATGTGGTAGACCATCAGCAGATGTACTAGTAGAAAGAATCGTCAGAGGAGTATTTAAAACATCAAGCCTAGCTGTTGTATCTATGTATACTAATTCTTCTGATTTTTGCAATTTATGACAACATTTCATAAGATTCATTATAATAACAAGAATAAAGGGTTGTTTGGAGTTATTTTGGCCTAATGTAATGTATTTTTGCATCTATGCATTTCCACTTTCGTTATTATTAAATTTAATAACATCTTTTTCTAATCAATCAAACATGCTACTTCTATTTTGAGCACCCATATGCTTATTATGATATTTTTTATAAAGGTATTTAATATTATTTTTATGAGGAAATAGCATTCTGTCAGCTAACATTTCTTCATTATTTTCATATTTTAGTTGCATTTCTTTCCAATAAGTATGATACATGCTATTAGGACTGTAACCTATATCAAAGAGCTTAAAAATTGCTTTTTTTGTTTCTTCTGATACTGGGTGAAAACTTGTGACATAACTTGACTTAAATGGATAATTATGATTAAAAAGTAAGTGAACAATGTATGGATAAGAGTCATCTCTTTTAAGTAGCTGGATTTTTAATGTTGCTGGGCAATTGGTGTCTCTTGTTTGTATACTCTTTGTATGTATATTGCTTGTTTCAGTTCCATTATCAACATAGTTATTTAAGTTATTTTCATGGTTAACAGTTTTCTCTTGTTTTAGTTTAACAGTATGACTGTGAATACAATGAAACTGCTTTGAAAGAATATAACAAACACCCTTGATAGTATGGCCTTGAGTTTCTCACATTGTTACTTTGTGATAATCTATAAATTTCTGAAGCCATAAATTAGTATTCTCGATTGTTTTAATATTTATACAAAATTCACTTTTAAAGAGCTTTTCATAAGCATCTAGAAATTTGTGCGATGAAATCTGTTCAATAGAGTTTACAAGATATTTGTAATTTGAAGGTAATGAACTTTTGATAATAAAATCAAAGATATTCAAGACTTTGATATTTATAGTTTTAAAGTAAGATATATTATTTAATATTAACTCTATGATGATAACTTTAAATTTTTTGCTTAGTAACTTGATGACAATATTGATATGATAAAGAAATAAGAAGGCATTACAGGAACTGGCTGTTTGTTTGAAAAGAAAGGTAAAAAAAAAATCAGATTCAAAAAAATGCTTATATTTTAGCTGATAATGTAAGTAATAAAAAGTTTATAACAAAATGATTAGCAAGAATATATGAAAAATGACAATATTAAGCAAAGTTAATAGTGATAGGAAGTTTGAACATCACAATGATGTAAGATTACATGCATGTTTCAGAAACTTATTAACTATGAAATAGAGATACAAAACTGGTTTATTGAACCTATTGATTAATCGATTCTTATTATAATTAATATACATTGTCCATTTTGCATCTCTATGAAACTTGAATAAAAATATTTTTTAATTGACATTTTAAGCTTTTAATATTTAAATATTAACTTTTTTTTTTATATTTGTAAATGATTTTTTAGAGTGCCATCCAACTTAAATCTGAGAAAATCTAAGTTTTTATCATTTCGAACTTGGTCTCTAGAAATTGTAATTTTTAATTACTATGCAATCTGTTCTAATTATTTCAGAAGAACATATATGATAAAGCAAAATATAATATCAAATATTAAAATGATTAGAACACCAATCATAATGCTTCTATATTGTCAATTTTTATTTTAAAAGATCAAATCACTTCACAAATAACTTTACTAATGTATGATTGCATTTGAAGTAATATTATATATTACTATAGCAATATTAAGGGCTCAATTCTAGGTAAAGATTCAAATAGTTTGCAAATTTACAAACAGCATAAACTGTAGAGACTACTTTAAGTATTATTTATTTACCATCTTTTCATCATTTCATGAAGCTTAATTAATGCATTTCAAATGTTTTAATATCAATTATCAAAGTATTTGATCATGCTGAAATAATTATACTTATTTAGCTTATACTTATTAAAAGAGTATTTGTTTTATAGAGTTCGATATTCTTATAGGAATTAAACTTTTCAATTATACTTCAGTGCCAATAATTTACATAATAGAACATTTGAAAGAAAAGTCAAAATCTTCAAATATAGAAAGTAGATAAGCATCTAAGAAAATATTCTTTAATTAAACTTACTAGGTATATATGTAAAATAGCTTTAGAAAAGTTGTATTTAAAGGAAGTAAAATATAGAAAGACTTTTCTAAACACACCGTAGGGATGCAACTTTAACATGTGATTTAAAAAAAAAATAACTTTATAGATTTAGGCAAATATTTGGGTCAGAAATTGTTGCATTAAGGGTTGTGCTTATGAAAGTCTTTGTAAATATATTTTATAACTAAAGTTATGCATTTAAAATTACATTTAGAGAGTCAACTAATTTTATATTTAAGAATTTTCAGTTTAGTATAAAAAGAATTATTATATTTTATTTTTGATTTAACAGTAGTAAAGATTACAGTTTGATGATTATTTGACAAAATTAATATATAACTAATACTTTGTATGATTATCTTCGAATTAGTCCATATATTATCTTTCTAAATTATATTAAAAATTTATGTTATAAGGTTTGTGCTATATAGAAGCAAACCATATTTTCAAATTGATTCTGATGAATCATATATTATATATAACAAAATCTTTTCATAGGAATAATGCGAAAAAATTTATTAAAAAATTTCATTTTACCGGTTTTATACTTTTTATTTTTAATTAAGTATTAACTTCAAAATAGTGTTAAGACCTGTTTGCAATAGAAAAAATAAATCAAATACTCAGAATTTTATAGCTTTTAAAAAATTAGCTTAACAATGTATACCAAGATATATTTATGATTGCATGATAAGACTAATATACACATATTCAATTACAATAATATATTTACTGTATAATATAAATTATGTATGTACATCAAATGATTGGCAGTTGGCACGTGTAGAAAATCAGTTGACTGCATATTACATGATTAACCAGGCACAGATTTATTTATTGTCTTTTGCAGTTAACAAAGATGTCAGAAAAGATGATTGACAGGATTTACCAACTAATAATATATTTGGCCAAACATAAATGCAACATGATGAAAACTACAAACAACTGCATAATTGAGTACAAAGATTTGAGAAACTGTAAATCATTAAGTTAGGAAATAGCAACAAAGCAAATAAGTAGTTTACTTACAAGACTTAATAAGAAAGACTATTTGGGTGACCTAACAAAGCTTAGAATAGTACAAGGATGCCAGAAAGCTGGCCTAGTAAAAGACATTTGGGAGTCTAAGGCAAAGCCAAAAGAAGCAAAATATTGAAAATACAATTTGGCTTGTCAAACAATTATCAAGGCAAAAAAAATAGGAATAAATATTAGAACAGAAAGCTATTTGTGGAAAGTTTATGATTATATAATAAGAATAAGAGACTTAGTTAAAACTAAATCTTGGACAGCAAGCAGCAGTACAATAAATAAATAGGGCCTACTGTACTTAAACCAGCTCATAGATATGAAAGATAAAAGCTTAATCACATGGAAACAACTCAAAAGTCTTCTAAAGTTGTTGTGTAAAGGGAAAAAAGCCAAATAGTTCAATGAAATAGAAGAAAAGATATTAAGAATGCAAACAAGCAAAGAAATACATAATCAATACAAGATCAACAGCTATAATACTCAGGCACTAATGATTAATTGAACAAAGATACTGAAGACAGAAGAAAGAAAGAGTGGATCATACATGGGCCAAAACATAAACAACAACTTAGCAAAATATTAAGAAAGAAAAAGAAAAAGATTTTAGCTGAACATTGGCTTTTGTGAAAGGTAGAAGGAAAGATATACACAGAAACAAGCAAATGCAAAGAGTATGAATATAAAACAGAACAATTAACAGAGAATTGCAAAAAGTGGATAAGATGGAATAACAGTATAAAAGCAGTCCCTGAAACACTAGTAGAAAAAAGTAGTAACAAGATTAATGCAACATTAGAACAGATAATAGTAAACAGACCAATGAAGAAATGGAAGAGAGAGGAAAGAAATCTAATTGGACTAAAACAAATAGAAGAATACAAGATAAAATTAATCAAAAAGCAAAAATTAGATAATAAAATCACAACATATTTAATAGAAGTCCTAACAAGAAACAAGATAAGAAACAAAGACAAGTATATCTTTTATACAGATGGAGCATTATATAAAGAGAAAAAAGAAAATAGTACAGAAAAGATGGGCATTGGCTGGGTACAGATCAGTAATGAAGAAAACTGGCCAGAAGAAGAAATAGTGTTAGGACTTGAAGGCTGGCCTTTAGTGACAACAGCAGAATTTGCAGCAATATGGGCAACTATCTTAACTGTTTCAGAAGAGAAGAGCATAGAAGTACATACAGATAGTTTGGCAGCACTAAAGAACATTAATAGAGCAATTCAAGGATTAGAGGATAACAAGTTCTTAAAAAGAAAAACACAATATGGATAATGAATATTGTAGACTTAATTAAAAGCAAGAGTAATAGAATCAAACTAGTTAAAGTTAAAAGTTACAGCAATGATAAGTGGAATGACAGAGTGAATGCATTTGCAAAGAAAGAAGCAACATATAGAATGGTGATACCTATAGAGAAGATCAAGTATAATAGAATAGAGTATTATTTAAAATAGAAAAACAAAAAAGTTGACATACCAACAAGACTTCTCTGCAAAATAATTGCAAACGCCAGAGTTGGAGCCAGTTGGAGAGAAACAAACCTGATTCGAGTATTAGAACCAGAAACAGAAAGTACTCAATATATTTGGTCAAGTTTTTAGAAAGAGATGAACAGAACAAAAGGCATATACTGCATAACAAGAAAACTTAGCACAAGAAGGGCAACAGTGATCAAATGTATAATAGATAATCTGCCAACACTAGAAGAACTAAACAGAAGAAGATTAGAAATATATACGACAACAGATTGCCAAGTATGTCAAACAGATGAAAAGGAAACCCAAACACATTTGGCAAGCTGTAGTAAACAAAGAAGCCTATGGAAAAGAATTCAAATGATAACAACAGCAATAGCATGAAATAGTTTCAAAGAAAATGAAAAAATCAGAATTCTACCTCGAGTGCTATATGAAGCAACTTTTAGAAAAACAGAAGCAGAGGAAATCATTAATAGAAGAGCACTAATAAAAGGTCTAATTATAAAGGAGGTAAAAAAAAGGATTAGTCAAATTCTTAACAAACAGGTAACGCAAAGATGCATAGAAATAATAACAAGAACAGTATGGAATACATTCTACAACCAAGTATAAAGAGTTTGGTATGGAAAAGTGCAAGAATAGAAAAAGAAGATAAACATAACAAGTAAAATGAAAAAAGGTGCTCAAATCAAAAAAAAGTCAAGAAAAAGAACAAAAAAAGATAAGTTAACAAAGGAAGAAGAAAAAAAAAAGAAAAAATAAAAAATAAATTAAATGAAGAAAAAAGTTTGAAAGACAATTGATATGCTTGTTACAGAAGGAAAAAGACCTTTTTGATATAGCTTTAAGTAGTTAAACAAGCAGTTTATCTCTAACTGAGATAGTGCGGCAGGTTGCACTTAGATACCAATACAGTGGCCAAGTGATGCTAGACTTAGATATTGGGGAATTCTATGTAATTATAAATGTATATAGTTTCAAGAATTTTAATAAAGTACTAGCATAACTGCTTAAGGGAAAAAAATATATATATATATATAAAAATTAAATAATTCTTATCATTTGCATTATTTGAATCTCTATATTCTGTTTATTTGTTAAATAATAT